AGTGGGGAGCAGAACAGGCAGATGGACGAAGTACACTGCTGAGGGGAGCAGCAGGCGGGTCAGGAAAGGTCTGCCTCGCCATGTGGATCTCCTCTGGGGCGGGCGGGAATTGAACTCATGCAGAAGTGGCTTTATCTTCTCAGTGCTGTGCTTTAACCCGCTGCGCCACCAGGGAGGGCCAGAACATCTATTTTTTATTGAGGTAATATTGATTTCTATATAGCACTGTGTAAGATTCGGGTGTATGGCTTTATACTTCAACATACAACATAACAAACACCATCCTTTGTTATTTTCTTTTAATTTAACTTTTTGATTGAGGTAACATAGGTTCACAAAGCTGTAGATGACTTAGGGGTACAGACCAGGAATTTTAGCATAAGCCTCTCTTAACAGCTACATCAGCAAGGTCTGAGGAAAACAACTCCTATAGGCCACTTAAAAAAATAAAAGTCAATGGAAGATATCAAATGGATTTTGAATCTAAATATTCTTTGAAAAAAAAAAATCTTTCTTGAATTGGCAGCTCAAAAGAATCAAGCAGATAGCATGACAATAACATAGGCATAGTCAACATTCTTTGGTTGGTTTGGAACTGTTTTATTAAGAGAGTGCCAGAAATTCCAGTTTTAAAAAGTGTGGCCTGAATTCAACATTCTTTACTTCTGTCCCCGAACTGGCCATCTGCCAGAGAATGACATGCTTTAAAGGACAAAATAAGAATGGATCCTCTCTGCTCTTCAGACCCAAGCTCCGAGCTTCAGAGCAAAAACTCGCAGGAGCCTTAAACTTAAACTTGGTCACTTTTAGCAGGCCAGAAACTGAGAGGAAGGAAAAGGCAACATAAAGCTGTCCTGAGCCTCTGCTCTCCGTGAGTCTAATGTTGCTTGGTCTACAGAACAATCACAACAATAAAATGCAGTGTGTCGTGGGGTCCCCTCTGAAAGAATAAAACTGGAAGCCTGTCTGTCATGCTGAACACTGAACCAGAAGCTTACACTGCGGGGTTCGGTGCCTTGGGCCTCGCTGCATCCACAAGCCAGGCAGACAGATGCACGGCCTTTGACAAAGCCAAGAGATGGGCATTTCAAAAATAAAATCATCTCCCAATTACAGGGAACCCTTCCTCCCCGGGACCCCACGGCACTCTATCAACCTAAATTGGAATCCTGTCTACTGAGCTGCCTTCAATGCAGCCACTCCAGTATAAATTGGATCAAATGCTCTCAGATTAATTCCTGGAAACCTATATTCATCTTTGTATATCTTTATTACAAAACTAGCCACAAGACTGCTCTACAATTTTCATTACCAGAACGGCTTGCAGAGCTGGATTACGCCATGGTTTATCCCTCTGTGACCCCAAACCATCTTGTTAGCCCCATTATTGTATATTCATGCCACACACCTGAGCCCAAGATAATAAGAGAGAGTGAATGAGGGGATGGGTGTATTTTATTGCATTTGGTGCAAAAGCTCCTCTGCAAGAACATTTAACCTGCTGTAGTCGCCCCTCGAAGTCCATGTCTCCCTCCCATGTTCTGCTTGTGTCTCTACCCCGAGGACCCTCTCAAGTATCCCCAAACTGAAGGAAGTGACGATAAACTAAGGCATGCCTGGACTTCTCAGGGGTGGTTGTGCCTCATTTCCAAAACTGCAGCTAGGAACACTTGGATTTTCTTGGTCTGGGTAAGGGAACAGAACGCACAGGACACTTGGCTATAGTTGTGTTTGATTAAAAATGTTTGTTTCAGGCCCTCCCTGGTGGTGCAGCGGGTTAAAGCACAGCACTGAGAAGCCAGCGCCACTTCCTCATGAGTTCGATTCCCGCTTGCCCCGGAGGTGACCACATGGCGCGGCAGACCTCTCCTGACCCGCCCGCGGCTCCCCTCAGCAGTGTACTTCGTCGATCTGCCTGTTCTGCTCCCCACTCTGTCTCTGGTGAAGCCTCTCACCCTCCACATCTCTGGCCTGTACCCCAGTTTTGTATGAATAAATAAATCTTTAAAAAAAATGTTTGTTTCAGACAACTATAAATTAGATATATACTGCAGGGGAGGGAGAAAGGGATCAAAGCGAGGGTGGGAAGAGCACAGGAGACTACATAGATGGTGCATGGGTGAATTAATGGTCGGAATTCTATGGGGACCACAAATGAGAAAAGAAAACACACATTGGACAACAATGAAAAATGATGTAAGATATATAAAATAAACATGTTTAATAAAAAAAGTTTGTTTCAGTGAAGTGTTGTTCTCAGAACCCTGTCTAAGAGTGGAAGGTGTCAAGTAGCGTTAGCTTTATGATGATTATCATCATCTATTAGATTACTAAATATCGATATAGATAACAGACCCACTATTATGTTAGAGTTAAATGGTTTATTTTACACCAGCTTGGTCATTTCTCTCTCTTTTCATTATGAACATACATATTATAACATATAATTCTGTATACATGTTATAAGACATATATTATGCTATATATTGCATTATGTTTGTACACAGATCCACGCACACATATAATTTAGGTGTAGCTCTCTATCCCCCACCACATAGCTGTAGTCTAGTAATACTTAGAATAACTGTCCAAACCATTTCCCCACTCCCCTGTCTGTCTCGCTTCCTCCCCCTCTGTTTTCAGAAATAATTCCAGCTTGATCCTTAAGACAAGAAGAATCTAGAATGATCTACTGCTTATATATTCTAGGGAAACTTGAAAACTTTTATTTTCTTTTCACTTTTCACTAAATGTGATGTTAAAATTAAAAAAAAATCATATGTAGATGGTCATTGATCATGGCCATGCTTTGCTTCAGTTCCTTTAAAACACACACACACACACACACATTTTGTTATTTCTATTGCTCCAAGAAATGATTTGCAATTTCATGCAGATGGGTTAGTATACCCACATTGTACTTGGACCTTAGATCCTTTCAGTAACACACCTGGTCATCAGATTATTTAAAATCATCTTCACCAAGTAGGAACAGCATATTGTAACTCATGCATCTGGGAACTGCTACACACACACACACAACACACTCTCTTTCTCAAATGAGAATCTTCTTTGTAACAAGATCCTTAGGTTATCTGTATGCACTTTAATGTTAAGAGTCTCTGACTATGGGATCTTAAAATTACCTATTTCAGGGGCCTCCCTCTGACTCAAGAGGTTAACTCACAGCACTATGAAGCTATCTGTGGCCACAACAGCCCGAGTTTGATCCCTGGCCAGGGAGCTGACCCATATGTCTCGCCCACTGCTCTCCTCAGCAGTGTATTTTAGTTGACCTGCCTGTTCTGCTCCCCACTCTGTCTCTGGTGAATCCTCTGGCCTGTACTCCAGTTCTTGTATGCATAAATAAATAATTCTTAAAAAAAAAAAAAAATAAGTGACCTGGCCCTCCCTGGTGGCACAGCAGGTTAAAGCACTGCACTGAGAAACTAAAGCCACTTCCGCATGAGTTCGATTCCCGCTTGCCCCGGAGGTGACCACATGCGTGGCAGACCTCTCCTAACCTGCCCACTGCTCCCCTCACCAGTGTACTTCGTAGATCTGCCTATTCTGCTCCCCACTCTGTCTCTGGTGAAGCCTCTCACCGCCCCTGAGCCTCTGGCCTGTACCCCAGTTCTGTATGTACAAATCAATAAATCTTTAAAAAATAAATTAATTAATTAATTAATAAGTAAGTAAATAAATAAATGACCTATTTCAAGATTATTCTCATATCTGCTAAATCAGATCCTTTGAGATCAGGAACCAGAACCTATGCATTTTGAAATTTTGTAGATGATAAACAGCCAGACTAGGACTCACTGTGTTGGTAAGATTTGACTGTGGGGCTTCTAACAGGTATCTTGACAGAGTAAGTCCTCCGGTACCCAGGCACTTCCCTTTTGTCATCCCTCTGTTTGGATATGGACAGTGGGTGAAGCAGTCTTTCAGCTCCACATCATTCTCCCACTGCAACTAAGTCAAGTACCACCAAGTGCCTTACTTTCTTATGACTTCTTTATTTTTTTAAAAAAATATTTCTTTATTTATATATACAAGAACTGGGGTACAAGCCAGAGGTGTTGGGGGGAGAGAGGGTTCACCAGTGAAAGAGTGGGGAACAGGAGGATTGACTGAAATATACTGCTGAGGGGAGCAGCAGGTAGGTTAGGAGAGGTCACCACATTGGCAGGAGATGGAACTCGTGCTGCAGTGGCTATAGATAGCTTCATAGTGTTGTGCTTTAACCTGTTGCACCAACAGGGAGGGCCCTGACTTCTCCTTTAACCCTCAAGAGAGTGCACTATGACTATTGATCCCCTCATGCTCACCTCTACCATCACTGCCCTCAAGGTACCTCTGAAGACCCCCAGCTCAGGTTCAGTTACTCCACCACCCACACCCTCCTCAATAGTCACCTTTGCCCTACTCATCCTCCATCTTCTTCATTTGGATTTTAAACCTTCTATTGTGCACTTGTCTTGGTCCGGGCCTTCAACATGAGCTATTAAGAAGTGGGCTCTCTGGAGGGTAAGTAGGATTTGAGGTTCTGGGGGTGAAGCCCTCATGAATGAAGTGCCTTGAAGGGAGCTTACTGGGAGAACTGACTTTGCCTCTCTGTTCTCTGTCTTGTGAGGCTATAAGGAAAAGTGTCTCACCAGAACTAAACTGTTCTGGCACATTGACATCAGGCTTCCAGCCCTTAGAACTGTGAGAGATACATTTCTATTGCTCACAAGCCAGTCTGTCCTTTTAGCAGTCAGGATGGACTAAGGTGGCACTCACTCACACACTTCAGTGAACTGCATGCATTTTTGTGTATCTGATTATTTAAAAAACTGAAACTGAAATCCTCTTATTCTATTACTTAGTAAATTCTATTACTTATTGTCATGTTCTACCTACCACTTAACATGTTATGGGTTAACCAATGTTCAGAACCTCTTTCATGGTACTAGTGAAAGGAGAATAAAACTTTAGAAAGCACCCAGGAGCCGAGCTAATTTGCCCCTAAAAGAACTTAGGAGAAGCAGCAGGTTCCCAGAACTATTTAAAAACCAGAGGTTCATTCTCGGAAACTGCATCGGTTGTGGGCTAAGACCTTCAGCAATCTCGCTGCTCTGGGCACAAATGATTTGTGCTCTGTTTTATTGTTTCTCCTGTGTGCTGATTGGTTTTGATTCATTACATAACACAGAGCTCATGAGAAAAGTCATTTTTCAAGTTAACAGGTGCATGATGAAATTAGATTAAAGTTTTGCAAATTTGCAGGTGGAAAAACATCAACATGGGGCCAATAGAAGAGATCCTGAGCAAGAAAAATAAAAGAGGGCCACATTTTGAAACTTGCCTTTTGGGGGGATGTGGATATTGCCCCTTAATATGGAAGGGAAATCGCCACTCTGCCTTCTTCCACAGCTATTCACGCTAGTGTTCCCCTGGAGCTTTTCTTGTCTTGCCCTTTCTCTGGACGGGAGCCTGACTCTGGGCCCTGTTGTCTCTAACTCATGCCGTGGGGCTCTCAGGTTCAGTAGGCAGAGAGCTGTGTGACCCCGAGGCCGTGTGAGTGTAGCTCGCTGGAGACGCTGCGTGCCATTCAATTCCTCTAAGCCCTGACCAGCTCAGACCCCGATCATTGTGTTCCTTTCCTGTACCTAGAGTAAAATATGGCAGGCTTTACCATGGGAGATGTGCACACAAGACAGATTTTCAGGATGATTGGAAGCCAAGCCTCTTCTTCCGTCCCTATTCATTTATTTTTGTCTTTCTCTCCTGACTCCTTATTTTACCTGATATTTTTCTTGATCATCCCCTCCATTTTTCTAATTCGCTTTTCTATATACATGTGTCTGACCACTGAAATGACTACAACACCCATTGGGAGGAAAAAACACCACAGCACTAATTTTTTTAAAGCTTTGTTAAAAAACAATCCCCTTTTAAGCAGTGACAGCTAGGACTCCGTAATCTGTACATACAATTTAATCCTTTAAAGAATCAGCAGGGTCCACATCAATCAAGAGCCTTCATCAACTTGTAAAAACAATATTTTGATTCAATCAGATTCAAAGCCCTGAAATTCTCAGCTAATTAATGCAGGGTCACTCAGGGGCTGTACAATGGTGGCTGGAACAGCGGTCAAATATTTACCCTTGGCATACACACGAGTTTGCATCACCCGAGGATCTGAGCGATGGGCAGGAATAGATAATGTACCCATGGCTGCAGCAGGTTTCATCTGGCACATGTATTTGGATAAATAATTACAGCAGTTGAAGAAAGAAGAGAAATCATTCTTCCATTGTCACAGATGCACACACAGAAGTAAGTCTGTCAAGGTAAGCGGACAGGGGCAGCCAGTGCACCAGGGAATGGTTTTGACATTCCAGTTTGCCCAAGCAGAGAGGTAAAACATGCACTCCTTCCTGTAACATTCAAGGTAAATGACCAGTTTAAGGTTTTACAGTGCATTAGGCCTACACTCTAATAAATTTTCTCTGGTTTGCACTTTGAGATATTTGGAGACCTTATAAATTTTGGAGGGAGAAGAGTATGGGAACATATGCAAAATCATATGCTTGTTTCTCTGTGTGGCTGCTAAGTACTCTATTATTTAATATACACATAAAATCCTTTATTTTACTTCAGATACAACAAGAGAAAAAACATCAGGATAACTCATATCTGATTTTTAAAAAATAAGTTCGCTTTCGCCTCTTAAACATAGAAGTTATGTAGGTACTCTGGGATGAAGGACAGGCAAAAATTCTATCTTTGGCCCCTTTCTTTCTCAT